GAATTATTTCATATATACTTCACACAAAATCATACCTACGAAAAAACACCAGCATTTCGTTGCTAATCAAATAGAACGCCTTTTGTTACTCTTATCAACACTCATCTGGTTTAAAGAAACATTTCGTTGTCAGCAACGGCTCTGTAAAATGTACAGGACCATCTTATTTCAACCACTAAGTATGGATTTATAGAAAACTAAATTTGGTGTAGGAAAAAAGTTTAGCCCTAAGATGAGATTGTCAGGATCTTTCTTACATTCCGCTTTAGTGCAAACAAACAATAGGACGAGGTTGGGGTGGACACTGCCATTTGTCCACCCCTGACCTAGACTTTGTGCAATTGTTCTTAAAATGAAGAAAAGGCCTATTAAAGTGGTTCCACCCCTTTGGCGAGCCTTCATGATTTTAGTTGCCAAGAAATGCTTCAATACAATAAAGTAAAGGAGGCCTACAAAAGTACAACTCTTACCAAATTCAAATTTATTTATTCATCAGTGATACAGATTTATTTATCAGTGATACTAATACAACAAATATACAAAGTTAGTAATAGTAAATACAGTCAGTCTGAAACAAGTGACAGTTAGGGATTTTTTTCAGGAGAGCTGATGTTATAATATAAATAAACAAAGGAAAATAGTACAGGTACTTTGAATGTTGATGCACCTTAGAACACTTTGCACTCTAAAGAGGGACTACTTGAGGTCTAATTGAAAACAATACTCTCACTGAAAATGGGACTCAAGAAAATTGGCATTGCGAAGAAAGTTCTGAGTGATAATCCAAGTGCAAGTGGATTTCCTCTGCTGGATTTTTCAGTTGGCACGTGAAGTAAAGAGAAAGGCCTTCAGCATAAAGGGCAAGCTGGAAAATCCCTATGGTTTGTACTAGCATCTCATCCAAATAGACAGAAACACTCTTACACTTAGCTTGCAAGCAGGCTCACGTTGGAGTACAAGTGCAAGCGGCATAGCCGTAAGCACAAGGATTGCTTCGCTTTTTGCCGCTCGCAGATGTGACTCGCAGACTATCTTACATTCAGACTATCTTACACTCAGTCCAGCCTACTCTACTACCTCAAAATCTAGAGATCTGAGGGATCTCTATGGGAATCAGAAGATTCACAAAATATAGCAAGAGGGGATGTTGGTCAAAACCTGATGGGACTGTGGGATTTGACAGGCCTGCTCATGATTGATCTGAGAACAGACTTAGTTGTTCATACCATAAACAAAACCATGACACAATATATCTTTGGTGCTCAAACAGAAATCATTACCTTGTAACCTTTTGGTTGGGAAAATACAACAATCAACCTCTCACTTTTGCTCTATTAGTTACTTCAGTAGAACTTCCACTTTTTCATTGAAAGAGGTAACAGATACAAAGAATTGTATGAGCAGGGCATAAGTTTGTGTCCCCTTAAGAAAGTGTAACAAAGTAAAGGATCCACTATACTCAACAGTTGCCAAGGCAACAGGAGATTCTTGGTACTTTCCATTGGACCAAAATTTCCGGTTTGAATTTCCAGAAATTTTCAGCAGTGAGTGAAACCGTGGGTGTTTTCCATTATGCCAAACCAACCAGTAAGAGACCAGTAGGAATAACCAAGGCAATATGGAATGGCATTCTCTGATAATACTAGGCCAACCAAATGGAATGGCTCTTACCATTTTTTATTCCTTTTCCGAATTTCCTACATAAGTAAAGAGAAGTGTGGCAATGAAATGGGTTGTCAAAATGGAACGGCAATTTTGGTCAGAATATTCTGACTGGAATAAGTGGACCACCTCCAAAGGTGATCCTGAATATTCCAATCAGAAGGAACTGAAACAGGTTTTTCCATTTGACTTCTGACTGAAATTTTTGAAATATTTGGCATAATGGAAAGCACCCACCTTTTTCCAGAATTTCTGGAAGGGAGGTCAGCCTTGCCAAACTTTTAAAAGTTTCCTGCCAAGACTCCTTTCAGATTTTCTGAAATTTTTAGTTGAATGATTCTAATTCCTCAAATTCCTCATATTCTAGATTTCCCCAGCAAACTTTCTAAGGAAACTTCCATACCATTTGCTGGTTTCAGAGCTGGAATTTTTGGTTGAATCGAAAGTGCCCCTTGCATCATTTGGCACACATCTGGACATGAGAGTAATACTTACTGGTCTATATATGATAAGAATGGTATGTCACCCAGTTTGACTGAAGATGTTTAGGTCTGTCCTTTCGGCTTGATGAGAAAAGTGATTTGAAAACTTTGCTTGCTTTGGGGTCTTCTGCCACAGTCTTGTGTTTTGATAGTTCTGGAAGCTTTCCCTTTGATAAAGCTGCTCCGTTGATCTTTGCCCCTGATACCATCACGTCACTAGATTTAGATCCACTAGAGGAGGGCATGTGCTCTGTTTTCGCTCGTTTTGCTGGTTTTTCAGGGCCATCTTCACAATTTGCACCATTAAGACTACTCCCTGAAGATTCCCCATTTGTCGAAGTTGAAGTCTCAGAGATCTTTGTCTTCTTAGCTTTCTTCTCCAGCTTCGTTTTCTGCCGTCTTCCTTCCATCTTTGCCCTCATGCTGACCAGTTCCTCTTCGCTGCCGTTTATGATAACAATGTCTTCGTCGGAGAAGGGTTTGCCACATTTGTTGCAAACAGTCGACGGAACTTCCTTCAGCGCTCGCTCAGAAAACACACAGCCGCACTTCCAGAGAAAGCAAAACTTATATCTGCCGTTCATCTCAATGCCGACAACAGGGCAGATGAATCGAGACGCCTGAAAATCTAAGTAGCTATCGGCTTGTTCCGAAGACTTCTTTTCGAAGGCTGGGTTGTTGGTCAGTTTTAGCTCCTTTACATCTTTCAGGCTCCTGATGTGGCTGGCGACATCCGATGTGACAGAGGATTTGTCCAGCAGGTATTCTAGCACTGCTTCTTTGTTGTACAAGTTTCCAAGCTCACAGCATACAATTGGGCTCTGTAACTCGGCTTCACTCAAAGCACAGTGGAACCACTTTGCGTTCAATTCGTAGTTCTTCTCAACTTGTTCGGGCTTTTTCTTCATTCGAACAAGTTCGTCCCGCTTTGGAATCGTGCCACCATCGCACCCCATTGTTGGTGAACTTCTTAGGGAAGATTTCTACTCAAGTTCGTCAATAAAAGCAAGCGTAAATTTTCATTCACGATAAATCCAAAAACAATATGGCGGCGAGTCGTTTAGGAATGACGTAGATCCGTGAGGCATTGCAGGTGCAAATACTTGGCGCGGCTACGTTGCCGTTTGACAAACAACATGGACGCTTGCTTGAGCGTGGAAAGAGAAGAAGAAAGACTATCGAAGAAATACAGCAGTATAAAGGAACATACGGACTCTTCTTTGACAGAATTGATCAACCAGATCTCTAATATTCAAGATGAGCTATCAAAAGGTAAAATGGAAGCTTTGTTCTCTTATAGTTGCAGTAAATAAATTGATGGAAGATAGATAACGTTACATTTTTGATGTTTTTGATAAGCTGGTACGACGTTTTGATTATAGTTTTATGATATTGTCAACGGGGTACAGCTCTAGTCGGTAAACAGCCAAAGAAATCCATTTAGTCAATAAAATGTGAGAAAAAAAAATAGATTTACCCGGTAGTCAGTAAACAGCAGAAAGTAGATAAGTCAATTAAGACTTAATTAATTTATATGATTTTATGATTTTTATACGCTGTAGATGGTCTCCTTTTGCAAAGTAAGCCGTGATTGAAATGTCAAATTTAAGCTGGTTTAAACTTTCGTTCAACATCAGTTCAAGATTTACATTGTTTTCGAAAATGTTGAATGGCGTTAAGGCTGTTTGAACAGTAGGTTGAGCAATATTGTACAACAAACACTTGCTCACAACAATTTTCTCAGAGTGTCGGCACTATGTTGGAACCATTTCCAATGGCCTCTGCACAACTTTCTTTTTGCTTCCAACATTTGTGCAACATTCATTCAACTTTTGTGGAAGGAATGTTGGTCAAATATTGATGCTGTTTAAACAGAACTCTATAGGAATAATTATTTTCTGGAATGTTTGTCATGTTGCCTTTCTTTTTTCCTGCAAAAGAAGTCACAATTACCCTTCACTTGTGAATACAAAAACAACAGAACAGCATGTTTTCAAACTGTATAAGATTTACATGCAGATTTTATTTCTTAAGTTCAAAGAAGAACTTTTTTTTCCATGACAAAGAAACCAAAATGGTCCATTGAATCTTTCATTTTCTGTCTTTAGACAATGGATTTTCTTGACTACATCTAAAGACACTTCTCCACTGATCGACATATTTTACTACACATTGCTCTTCTGACGTAGTTGTAAATCAAATACATTATAAATCAAATGAAATTCTCTGAAAAGTTGACAAATTCAATAGCTTTGAATGAAATTTTATAGGGCATAAGAATATAAAAAGAATTTGAGTTTAAAATGCAATGACTGAATTCCAAACCTTTGATTATTAAACTCATCAATAACAGATGAGTGTGGGCAAGGTCACTGTTAGGTTGGGTAATGTTTAAGTAATGGACGATCACTTGATTCTTTTCACATATATATGTAGACAGTATACATGTAAAATATGTATTGTAAACAACTAATGAAGTGTCAGGACCAAATTGACCTAAATCTTACAAAAGTATCATTTGTGTTCACAGCAAGTAAAGATGATGAAGTATCACCTTTACAATTACATCTCCTGAACCAGTCATCTAGGAAAGTGAAAGATACAGTCTCAAAATTAGCTACAGAGCACAAAGAACTGCATGGAGGGATCTCAAAGATTGGAAAAGCTATTGACAGAGTAAGCAATGAGGAACATTTACATATCTGCTAAGTTTAATAATAGCAGACAATATTTTTGTTATGAATCAGGTCAATATGCCATTTCTGAGTTACCGTTTGCCTCTGTTTAAATTAAAATGAGTCCTTATACAGAGCTTTCCATACAAAAATGAGTGTGACTTGCATGGCTTCAGGGTAAACAGGCTTCGAGTGGTGCTTCTTTCTCTTTGTCCGTCAAGCAAGATGCAAAAGAAAACCGTGAGAAAAAATGGCCATGCAAGATCCTGGGGGCAAGAAGAACATTTTTTCTCGTGGTTTTCTTTTGCGTCTTGCTCGACAGACTAAGCAAAAGATGGACGACTCGTAGTCTACAGGGTAAATTGTAGGTGAAACATTTTTTCACAAGATTGGTTTCACGTGAAGGCTCATTTTCACATAGAGGCAAACAACAATTTGAAAATGGCTATTCCTTTGAAAGTTCATGAGAAACTGCAACCAGTGTGAGTATAAGAGTTACCTATTTAAAGAATCTGTGAGATGGGTTTCTCTTAATAATTTGGAGAAAAAAGGGGAAACCATGTGAAGAACTGGTAAATTATTGACATTATCACTGGTTACAGAAATTGTGTCAAAATTCGTCAGAATTCTCCATTTTTGTCATTGGGTACGTTTGTGGGTCAAAATACAACTGAGGATAGCCATGCAGCTGACTGCTGCATGGTTGGGAAACTGCTAGTTGATGAAAATTCTCTGTTCAGTTGAAATATACACTGTAGTTCTTTCTTATAATGGATTCTTTGGGTAGCCTGCGAACGCAGACGTATTTCCAGCTGTCACTTGGTTCCGCTGAAGAATAACGTTTGCGAACCCGAGCCAGGAAACAATTTCTGTGACATAATGACTTTTGTTTCTCCTTGGCTTATCAGATTCCATGATAGAATGTAACTCGAGCTAAACTGAGCTAAACTCTGGCTTAGAATTCCTACGTCACAGAAATCGTTTTCTGGCTTGGGTTTGCAGACGTTAATTTTCGGCGGAACCAAGTGACAGCCGGAAATACGTCTGCGTTTTCAGGCTATTCTTTGGATGGACTAGCAAATTTTTGACCAAGTGAAACTATGGTCATGATGTCATTGTTTTCGTTTTTGCTCAAGGAGTGATCACATATGTTTAAGAATCTCCTTCTTCCTTTGCAGAATTTTGTCATAGACAACACAACATGTAGCCAGCCAGGAGTGTTTGATGGTGAAAATGCATCTTTGTTAAATGAGGTCTTATGTGAACACCTCTTACGACAAGGGAGATTAGAAATTGCTGAGCAGTTAATAAAGGTTAGACAAAAATTTATGGTTTCTAATCTAACATTATTTTCTACAGTCAGTTGAATACCATGGTCTATTTTTCTGCTTCAAGAACTTATTACATGTACATACTGTAAAGTTTGCAAATGCAACTGCCTGAGTCTCTCTACTTACCACAGTACAAGACGCAAGAGGTGAATGCATTGAACCTGGTCAAAGTGATTGAATAATCTTCTTCTTCTTCCTGGGCGACTCACCTCCTTCAATTCTGAAGATTCTAGTGAGCGTATAAATAAAAAACTACAAATTAAAATAAGGCTAAAATGCT